AAACAGGATCAGTAGTTTGATCAAGCTATTACATTAGCAATGCATGATTTGCAAAATTCAACTTGAAAGGGTTTGAAAAGTTTGTAAAACTTGAAAGAACTTGAAAGTCTGATAAAATAAAATAATAAAAATAAAACTGTCTGGAGTCCAACAATCTACAACATAGAAAATTACAAAAAAAAGATTTTTAAGAAGCTAAAAAAAGATGTTTTATATCTGTCTGTCACCAGACTCTGTTAGACTAACCCAGTGCTTCTCAATTATCTTCCGTTACGCCCCCCTTAGCAAGAAGAAAACTATTCGCGCCCCCCGTTCCCCACCGTGACTATCCATCTCTGCATAACATTTTTTTCTTATTAACATTTTTTTCGCTGAAAAAACTCTAGCGGCTTATCGGCGTGATTGGGATGTAACGTATTTAAGTGACGCGCTAATTTATTTGGCTTCATGCTGTCCGCTGCGAGCATTTTTAGACACAGCAAACACACCGGTCTTTCCTCTTCTCCAACTGTAGCCACAGTGAAGCCAAGCGCTAAATACGCTTCGTCGTATTTCCTCTTCTTAGCTTTCGGTTGACTTTCTGTTGTCTCATTATCTTTGTCTCTCTCCGCTTTTCTTTTCATCCCTGTGAAAAACTTTTTCATGTTGGGGGTTGTTGAATAACGGAGGCCATAGACAGAACGCAGTCAGAGCTTTTTGTTGACTTAACACTGCTAACCAAGGCAAACCTGTTGTCTTGTAAGTCATAAAATGTTGCACTGTCGCAAACGTGACAGAAGTAACAATGAGAGCGCCACTGCCGCCTACTGTGCGCAATTACACTTTATACTAGTACGGCCAAAAAAAAGCCTGTTCCCCAGGATCACACGCCCCCCCAGGTATCGCACCGCGCCCCCCAAAGGGGGCCCGCCCCACTATTTGAGAAGCACTGGACTAACCTCACATATTTTGGTTAATTCAACCTCTGATTTCTGCGTTATATCAACAGTGTGCATCAGTTGCCGAGGGAAAAAGCGTTAAAACCGGGTACCTGTCATTTCAACAGGCAGATTATTGCCAGTGGAGCAGGAAGGCTTATGAGGACGGCTCCCCTCCTGAACTTCCTGCTGGGAGAGAGGCCTGCGGCCCGCGCTCACTGAGCCTGAGTGACTCACAATTACCACAGCGACGGAGCCACAGTCGCCTCCCCTCCTCTCCAGCCGTTCCCTGACTCACTTAGCGCACATGGCAAATGACAGAATCGCCCCGAACCTCCGCCTCCTCTCTGAGCCCGACTGCCCGTCGCCCACACTTCGCCTGCAGTACTTAAAGCCCGGATAATTCTCACCAGCAACAACTATGAAACTGACAGGAATTTACTTCGGCATTTCCAAAGTGCCGTACCACGATGAGTCTGGCTGATTTGTCATTGAAGGATGACTTGCTGCACCCTGTTTGACTGATATAAATACCCAAATCAACAGGGCCGGCCCAAGGCATGTGTGAGTTAGCCCTTCACACCACAATGGGGTCCCCAAGAACACCAAGCTAGTCTCAGTAGCTTGATTTTATATATACAGCCCTGGAAAACAATAAGAGACCACTTCAAATGATCAGTTTCTCTGATTTGACTTTTTATAGGTTTATGTTTTAGTAAAATGCTAATAACAACATAGGAATGATAAACCATGCTGGTCTGGAGGGGGCCGCTTGGGGCCCCAAAAAGGTTTGGGCCGGCCCTGCAAATCAGACAACTTTAAGGTTTGATGATTAAAATAATGTGTGCGCATGCACTTTAAAACATTCTGTTAAAGTGAAGAAATGCATTAATCTTTTGCCCTAATAAAAAAAGACTAAACTCTGAGGTTATTCTTTACCATCTCAATTTGCTTACAGTGCAGAAGTTGGAGGACTGCTGATAGTGATACCACAGCTCATATACTTTACTAGTTAAATGCAGGGAGGCAAAAGAGTTGTAGCAGTATGCAGTTTTCCCTGAGTGGAGTAAAAGCAGCAGAGCTTGTTAAAATATTAACAGTTTTTGCACAGAAATGGCACATAATCCCACACACATCTTTCATCATAAACATTGCAAATATACAGATGAAACATGAAATCCAATTTGACTGCAGAAACAAATGGTTTTTTTTTTTTTTTCCTGAAAGAGTTGTTACTGCAGCAGCTCAGGGTTTTCTATCAGCCGTAATAAGCTCAGGCTAACATTTGTCTTTTACGAAGATGCTGCGTTCTGAATCTGACACCTCCAGTGGTGGCAGACACTTAAGTCTCTTCTGTTCAGCAACAACAAAACACTCGCTGCATCGCTCCTCGTCCTCTGCTCCTCCGGCTCCACGCTGAGGACTGCTTAAAGGGAAAGCGACGGCGCAGGCCGACAAAATAATTACAAAATGGCCCAAAACATGGTGGCCAGTTTGAGAGAAATCAAGCAGCTTCTTCAATTGCAGAGGGAGATTTTGTTGGAAACAGTAGGAGTTCAGTGCAGTTATTGCAGACAACAAATCAAACTTAAAGGAGTGCATCAATGGAAGTTGTAGCTGTAAAAGATTAGCGGCACTGGAAAAAAAAAAGATTTTGAAATTAAAGTCAGTATTTTGCAGAAAAAAAGTCATTTTTTTCTCAGAACTTTGAGTTTTGATCTCAGAAGAATAAAGTTAAAATTGTGGAAAAAAAATTCTGAATTTTGGAAAAAGTCAAACTGTTCTCAGAATTCTCACCTTTTTTTCTGAATCCTGGCTTTTTTCAGAATTCAGTTTTTATCTGCACTGTTAGACTAAGTTCAGAATTTTTTTTTCAAAATTCTGAGTTTTGATCTCAGAAGAACAAAGTCAAAAATTTGGTATAAAAGTCAGAATTTTAAGAATTTTATGTAATATTAATGTCTGAATATTGTGAAAAAAGTCAGAATTTTGGGGAAAAGTCAAATTTTTTGCAGAATTTTGACTTTCTAAATTCTGAATTGTTTCTGAAAAGTCTGAGTTTGATCTCAGAAGATTAAAGTCAGAATTTTGAGGAAAAAAGTTAAACTTTTAGTGGAAGAAATAAATGTTTTATTTTTTTCCAGTGGCCCTAATCCTCTTCTGTAAGTGGCAATGATGCTTCATTAAAGTATTAGTTTTTCTCCTTTTTCTGTTGAAATAATTCTCAAATAATAACAATTCCTCAAATAAAACACCAAACCCTGACCGACCAGGAAGTAGTCGTTGTAGGGGTTGTTACGGGTTCCTGTGGGGAATCTGAAGGAGCCCAGCGGCCGTGTAGCGCAGCAGCGGCAGGCAGGAAGCCAGAGCAGAGACTGTCTGGCCTGCTGAGCTCCATCAGGAATAAAGCCAGATTAAGGAAACAAAACAAACAAAAAAAACGGAAATCCTCTCAACTGAGTCCAAACATGAGACCACGACCACATCACTGGGAATCCTTTTGTGGAACTTGAAATGCGATGCCTATCGTTATGAAAGGAAATACATGTTTTTACAGCGACAGAAAATCAATACTACTGACTGACTGTGCTGCAAGTTAACAAATACGACTGGGGCTGAAAAAGCTGCAGAAAATGGAATAGAAATGAGTCAGACATAATAATCCTGACTAAGCCTGTATAAGGAAGCCCTGGCAGTCAAGACAGTCACTGGATCAGAGCAGACAGCGATGCATGCATTATGTATCTCTGTAAAATCCACTCAAGTGAAGCGCACACACATATTACATTTGCATCACTTATTGTTTGCATTTACACAAATCAGAAGTCACAACGTATGTGTGTGTGTGTGTGTGTTCGCCAAATCAAAAGGCTGACACAATGCTGAGAACTTCCCTGCGACATTAGACAGAAGCTACCTGCTAATAGATCATTACCACTGAATAATTATCCATTATGTCGCTCACACATTTACACATTCTTCACAAAGCTATTGCTGAGTGCAGCAGCACCATCTCCTCTGCTCCCCCCCTCAGCTGAAGTTGATGTCTGACAGCTTTGTTTGTGCGCCGATAAGTTTTTTTTCCTTTAATTAGAACACTGGAAGTCATAATTGGACATTGCACTTTATTCTCGGGCCCTCCTGCCAGCCCTACTCCCCTTCCTCCAACTCTCTGATTCCCCGAGCGCAGAGCGCGAGACGCAGAAGAAACTCTCCAGAGTACATGGCGAAATTTGAGGGTTTGACATAAAAAGAGACTGAAATGTACACAACAGTTTGTGTGACTAAGCAAAACAATAGGGGGTAGAAAAATAGTTTAAAAAAAGATAATGTGTTCTGGGTAAGTGCACAAAGTTACACACCTCTGCATTGTGCACTGTAAAAACAAACTCTCAGATATCTCAGTAGACTTGAAATAAAATTAACTTTTTAGCAAGACATAATAACTTGTTTTAAGTAAGTAATTCTTCATATTGATGAAAAATACACGTTCAATTGGCAGATAAATTAACTTTTAATATGGGAAAGGAAATCTAGTTAAAAGTGAAACAATCTGCTAGTGGAACTAAAACTTTTTCATCAATATTAAGAAATTATTTATTTAAAACAAGCTGTTATATCTTGCTTAAAGGTTACTTCTTAGTTAGCTTGTCTTATTTCAAGTCAATTATTTCAAGATACTTGCACTAAAATAATAGACCAAACACACTTAGTCAGATTTTATGTTTTTGACTGTATGGCAAGTTATCAAGTAATTCAATTAATTAATCTAATGTTTCTTAAAAACCTGAGGATTTTCTTGTTTCCACTGAGCTGAATATCTTTCTGTGAAACGCTGGTAAAAATGTTGTTAAAGGGTTAATAGAGGAGCCATGTTGTGATGACCTTTTGAAAGCAAAGTTGTTAAAGAAACAGAACCCAATTTCAGGGTGTCAAATTACAAAGTCATTGCAGTACAAACACAATACTGACCCTTTAATTACAGTAATTTAATTGATGTTTCTTAATTTGGAGTCTTTTATATACCTTTTAAAATCACTAATGGCTTCTGTATTTCTCCCCATCTTCACCAACGACCTCAAGGTGGTGATAGGTCAAGAAGATGACTCCTCCAACGCCAAGAGCTCCTCGGACGCCTCCTCCAAGACGGTGGGCCTTCTGAACGGACAAGCCTCTCACTCGCCCCTGAGCCGATGGATGCAGCACAGTAAAAGCAGAGCTGCTAACTCCACCTCCCTGGAGCTGCCTTACCGCTCCCCAGTCCCTTTCTCCAAGCAGGAGTTTTCCAAACAAGAGTTCTGGGAGATGTTGGGCAGTGACCTGCTCAAACCAGACGCCTCCAGCTCCAGGGTCAAGCGCCGGCCGATCGTTAAGACCGGTAAGTTCAAGAAGATGTTCGGCTGGGGAGACTTCTACTCCAACATCAAAACGGTGAGGCTCAACTTGCTCATCACCGGCAAGATTGTGGATCACGGCAACGGCACTTTTAGCGTATACTTTCGGCACAACTCGACGGGTCAGGGCAACATCTCTGTCAGCCTGGTCCCGCCCGTCAAGGCCGTGGAGTTCGACCTGGAGCGCCAGAGCGTCGTCTACCCAAAAGACTCCAAGATATTTAACTGCCGCGTGGACTACGAGAAGGTGGATCGGAGCAAGCGCACCTCGTTGTGCAACTACGATCCATCCAAGACCTGCTTTCAGGAGCAGATCCAGAGCCACGTGTCCTGGATTTGCTCCAAGCCTTTCAAAGTCATCTGTATCTACATTTCCTTCTACAGTACGGACTACCGTCTAGTGCAGAAGGTTTGCCCGGACTACAACTACCACAATGAGATGCCCTACCTTCCTTCAGGCTAGAGGAAGCATGAGGGGTAGGAGAGAGGAAAAGTGGGGTGACTGAACATGCGAGGAGGAAACGAGGGCGGAAAATGTCAGCAAGACACCTTAAAACAAAACAAAACATGTAGCCTGACTATTGTAATATGTAAAAACATATATGCAAACTCCAGTATGCATTTAGGAAACACCCGGGACTGGCAGTGAAACTCTACCACCAACACATTTTACCTCAGTCCTGTTTCGAAACTCGAACATCTGCGCAGCATTCCTCCAACCAATTTAGTCGTTTCTGAATCTTATCTGAGTGTCCTTTTTAATCGCCCTTTGCAAAGTCGCAAGAATTGAAAGTGGGCTTTTAAATGGTGTGGTAATTCACAAGAGAGCTGCAGACAGATTCAGCGTTTATGATAATTATCATGTCGTGTTTAACATTGTGCTCTTTAAAGATGATTTAAACAGACCACGGGGAACATAAAGTATCCATTTGCTCACAAAAGTGCAGATGAATGTGGAGTGTAACCAACCGCAGCGTCATTAAAGTGACGCTCAGACCTTTCAAAGGGCAGACGTTTATGGGAACTCGGTGCCAAAACAATGCCAAAACTTCTGACACAAACATCAGCGACTGCCAATGTATCCCTCAATTAAATCCCCTCCAAAAATAATGTATAAATAAAAAGAAATTGATTTGCAGAGTTTCAGGTCCAGGGTTTAGGACGAGCTCGGTGTGAAGGCAATAACGAGATTGTACGGCGGTGCAGAATTGGAACCTCCACACTGATGAGAGCGAGTACAAGGTAGCAGGGTGAGAGATGCAGAGATTCAGAGCTCTTTTAATTAAAGTGGGGAAGGAGACGTGGGGTATGCGGCGGCGTCTATTGTCCCTTCTGTATGAAAAAGATTACATTTTGTTGCCGTCAGGATTCCTGATTTCACGCCTTGATAACTTTGACTGTGTGCAGGAGATTGCTCTCTTGCTCTCTCTCCTGACAAATACTGCATTCACCAAAGTAAACCCAGTTATCTTGAATAAATGAAAATATTATCATAATAATTACATATAATTTAATCTCTTTCAGATGTAATTAAGGCTTCAATGAGAGCGCAAAATGTGTTCCTAAAAATCGAGTCAGTGGGAAGGAGGATAAGAGAAAATACAGTGAGGATTGTATTTGGATGGCGCCAGCCGCCACAGTTTAGCCCTGAGTTAACTGCTCTCATTAAGATAAACGGCTAGTAGCTGGCCCTTCTCATGTTACACACACAAACAATATCAGAGCACAGCCAAGAAATAAATCACGTTGCTTAAATCTTTATGAGGACATGACGACTTTTTGGTTAATTAACAAGGAGCATTCATAAGACAGGTTTGAGGAGCCAATGAGCAGATCAGGTATCCAGTTTGATGCCAATGTGATGAGGCATCGGTGACAAAGTTCAGATGTGACGTAAAGCCGTCCGTTTGGGGCCCGAGATTTAGCCGCTTCTTTTGTACCACTTTACTTACAAAGCGTCAGCACATAAAACAAAATTAAGACAAAAAATTTAATTCAACCCGTTCATGCATAACAGTCAGTGCAGTGGTCAGCTGTTGTACAATACACCGCCAACTACTGGCCATCCACTGCAACTGCAAATAAATCCAAGATGGCAGAAAAAAACATGCCTCCAATCCCTCCTAATACTGTAGAGCCAAGTAAAGACCAATACTAATGATGTTCCAAATAACTTACAACTTATCACATAAAAAATAATCCTAGAAATCAGAAAATCAAACACACTTTGGAAAAAATTCTGACATAAGGATTCATAATTCATGCATGAAAGGGTTAAAAATGCAAATATACGTACATTTAAAGTGAAAACATCTTTATATATACTTAACTCTGTGGTGCAAAACTGAACTGATGAACTGACAGGTACATTATTGCAAAGGAAAAACAAATCCTCCATGTCCTTTAGGGGCTGCGTTGCACAAATACCAACATCAGGACAAAATATTGACCCTTTGCAACTACGTCACTTAATCGAGGCGCCGTTACGGACAGTCGGAAGTGGGGGGCGGGAAGAGAGCGACTGAAATTGTTTTCCAAAGTTGTTTTTGCCAGTTTATTCAAATCTACTTGTTCCAGTCGAGCTAATTTGTCTGTGAGCGTTAAATACCTGGTTGTGGCTCAGAGTCGCTGGTATTTACAGAAGTTTGAATCAGCTAAGAAACTGACCCGAACCTCCTCCCTCCTGACGTGTTGATCAAATTAATGACTTTACACATGATTCATATCAATATGTCATAAACAGCGCTTCTCCTTAAACCGAGGCAGGATTAAAAACGTCCAAAAGACGAGATGCTAATCAGTTTGTTCCTTACATGCTAGGCTGGATGACAGCGCAGCACTGTCTCCATGATTACCAATCCTTAGACGCTCCATTAGTGACACGTTTGATTTGTTTGTAATCATACCTACTACGCATATTAAAGTCACACTGAGGGCTGCCAGTCATTGTGATTAACAGCTGCTATCCACAACTTTCCTCATTAGGTTATAAAATAAAATGACAAGTTTGGTTTCCAGCCTTGTCTGTTTGTGCAGCCGACAGCACAGCAGCCTGTGACCATTTTTACTGCGAAATCAACCTAATAAAAGCAACATTAAACTACCAGATGTGTGTTTCTGAAGGGCTTTACGGGAGCGAATAATGGCGGAGTGGGCGGAGTCTCGAAGAGCGTGACGTCACATGCAAACAACAAACAAAAGCCAAATGAATCAGATTTAAGTTCTAACAAGACAGAATGTGTGAATGCTCATTAGGTATGAATAGTTTTAAACTATAAAGATGTGACAATCTGTTCATCAAAGTTTTTTAAAATTGAAAAAAGCTCATTTTCGTCCCTCCAGCAAATATGAGCAGTTCACAAAGATGTCAGCAGGGAACAAGGCGGCAAATTCGCCTACAGACATCATGAATGTTGTTTTTCTGTCCTCTCTTAGCTGGGCGCTGATTTTATTCAACAATATTTTAATCATTTGCTGACACGTGAATCTGTCTGCCTCTTCTTCTACCAAGCTAATATTAGCGACAGGAATCTGAAAACACCATATTGGCTGGCTTCACCTCTCACAAATAATAAATAAACACTGAGTCTCCTTTGAGCAAACATTACACGTTAGGCAGCAGCTCAAACTGAATCTCTGACGCCTGTTTGAAGGATCTTTTCCTGAACTGCTGGATTGAATACAAAGTTTTAACGTGTTTCAAATGCATCAACCAGCATGACTGAGCCGCATCTTTCTTCTTTATTTTAGTAACCTCGTCCTCTGGCTTATTTCACCTCTTTCTGTATATTAGGCTGGTGTTTACGTTTGACTCGCTCTACCTCCATCCGCTTCACTGCAAAAATACAAAACGTCATAAAATGATTTTGGTCTAGTTTCTTAGTTAAATAAGACTTATAAGTAACTTTTCAGCCAGATACAGGAGCTTGTTTAAAGCCAATAATTCTTTAAAAAACCTCGTTCCACAGGCGGGGTGTGTTTTGTTTTGTTATAAGTGAAAAAACCTGTCAGTAAAATTCTTAATTTTTTATCAATAATAAGAAATCACTGACACCTATATAAAGGTGCAGTATGTAAATTTTATTTTTAAAAAAACTTCTTACATATTGGCCATGAGAAAGATAAACTGTAAAAAGATCAATCTTCACCTCCTCCCTGGTTTACAATCACAGTCTGAACAAATGTGTCGCTCCCGGTCAAAAACAACCAATCAGAGCCAGGAGGAGGGTCTAAACACTGCCAATCATCCTCGTAAATGTGCTGCTAAATGTGCTAATGACAGAGGAACAACTCACATTTGCAGAAAAAAATGTACCCGCCGTCATAGGTGGCTACATTAAGTAGCTTTAGCATTTATGACTGACACAGGCATGATTGACAGCGCTAAGAGCCACCAAAATGATCGGTTTAAAAAAGATAGTTTTTGATAAAAGTTTTATATTGCAGCTTCAAAACAAGCTTTTCCGTTGTACTAAAAAGCTACTTGTAAGTTAGTTTTGTCTTATTTCTCTATCAGACAAAAAAAACCTTTGGTAATTGTGTTTTTGCAGTGTTGCCCCCTCCTCAGCACACATTCCTGATTACAGCTGGCGAATAATTAATTTCTACATCTTTATTTTTATAAAACATCATGTTCACACACAGTCTTAAGATGTATTTGTTTAGTTTCTTCCTCCCTCCTGTTCAACCGTCTTGCGTAAGCTCCCGGATCGGGAGGACGTTCGCCGTCCCGGAGAGCATGCTAACGCGCCCCTTAAAACCACCACCCATCCCGCAGATCCTCGTCCCGCAGGGCGTCCGGAAACTCACACACCACGGAATCAAAGCTTGGAAACAACAAGCCCTCGGCAACTCTGACAATGGAGAAAAACAAAAGACAAAAAGGACAAAAGTCGACATGAAGCTCCGTCCTCTTCTCCTTACTGATCCTCTCAAGTATAGAGCAATACTCTCAGCGAGACGCCACCCTCCTTGCCTCTCTGGGGAACAGAAAAGGCTGCTGAACTGCGGTTAGCAGGCGAACATGTTGCTGTGGGACGGAAGGTGTTGTTAGAGCAGCAGCCTTACTATTTACCCATCTGGTGCCAACAGACATGTGAACATTTGGCCTTAAAGGCTGCAAGCAGCAGTGGTCCATTCAGAACAGAAAAATTACAAAAATAAGACTGTTTAAACATAAATATACATATATAAATAATATATATATATATATAAAAGCTACGAGTCCTGAGATCTGAATAAAGTTGTATTTAAATGTGGGTCATGCTGTGAAGGTTGTCTGTTTTACGTTTTTGTTCCTTATAGTTTTGCTTTTCTGTGAATGATAAACTGTACGGATGAAATGATGGATTTAAAACAAACCAATAAAGTACGCAGAGCTACTTACAAGACTTAAACTACGGAGAAACGGGCCGCCGTCTTCTATCTGGCTTCACTCCCTGTGCAGGTGAAGTGTGTCAACAACACTGCAGTCTCTGTTTTCTGGTATTTGCATAGCTATGCTGTGTGCCAGGCGCCGGTGGCAAAGAAAAGATGTGACGGAAATTTAGCTTAGGGCTGCTGCAGATATACGTGAGGAGAGAGAGGAAGAAAACACGGCTGAGAAAGAAAGAGAAACAGAAAACGTTTCAAGTGGAGTGATGCTAATTAGCCTCCTTTTTCTCCCCCCCTCTTTGTTGTGCTACTTCTCAGCGCCTTTTATTTCTCAAATGCAACTGGCAATAAATTAATTTTATGTTTTAATTAAATCCCAGACAACTGCTAAGGTGGGGCAATGAGTTCAAACATTCAGCTCACAACATTCCCTTTAAAGGCGATCGATTAAGGCATGGCTAGCGGCAAAGCCGGGGCCTCCACCCCATCACCTCCACCCGCGCTTTGTTCCCGTAAAAGCTTTGCCTGCCTCGGGATAACCTTGCCTGGGATGATGAAAGGGAAGCAAATGAGTCAAAATGGGGAAAGACATGGAACTTTATTTAGAAGAAAGGAGAATTGAGGTTAAAATAAAATGTGGGAGCAACGTGTCGGGTCACACACAGAGACGAGAAAATATGTTAGTGTGGTTTTTTTAAGAAAAAAAAGGTGATAAAATTAACTTATTTGGGTGCAAAGGTTGAAATAAACAAGCAGGAAAATAATTTTTGTATGAGAAAAGTTACGACAATCAGTATTTTCAAAGTTGGGCCAAAATATTTTACTAAAATTGAGAATTTTCTTGAGCCGCGTGTCAAACTCGAGGCCCGCCGTAGCTTTTTAATGTGGCCCTGTGGATTCTAGACTTAACACTAAATGTGCTTAAATATCCTGTTATCAATCAAATCAATGCAGTTTTTATCTGTTTACCTCCAAATTATATCAATCAGTCCCTCCAGTTTCTTGAGAATTATTGTAGAAATTCACGTAAAATCAAGAAATCTGAAGCTTTAAGAGGGCATCATCATCATCTCTCTGTGAAATGAGTCAAGTCCCAATGTGACCTGAAAGGTCACTCAGCAAGGAAGAAAGTTTTACATGAAAATCCCCATTACAGTCTGCAAATTAACTTAGGAACAAGGCTTTAAATTTTAAAGACGTGTCCTTTTGAGTGATGAGTGCTAAGAGTTTTTTCCTATAATGGCTGTAATTTCAGTAGAATAAAAATTTAGCGCTTTGTGTCTGGAAAGCACATAATAGCAGCTCTTTAACCCCAGCAGACCTTAGACTGGAGAAGTTGAGTCTGGAGTAAAAGTGAAACTCTTTTGGATTCATAGACAGACATTTTAAACAAGCATGTGCAACATGTCGTCACTCTGAAAGTGCCCAGATGTTTGCTGCGTGTCCACTGATACAATTTCACATTTTGGAAATAAATTTGCTCAATCCAGTGGCGCCAAACTAATTTTCGTTTTGAACCAATACAAAATCCTGAAGGCTCCTAAAGGGCCGGTTGTGCCAGAATGAATCGATAAAACTTGTTCACTAACTGTTAAAATATACAATGAATTCTGAAAATTAAATACTATTGAACATCTTTTCAGTTTCTCCACAATTTTGTGATACTTTGTGTTATTTTTTTGCAATAAAAGTCAAAGTGTTTGTGGCAGTAATTTGGAAGTATTTGCAATATTTTCACTTATTTATGGCGGTAAATGTGACTTTTTATACAAATCACGGACTATAAAATGACCTCAATTAAGGCTGAAGCAGCTGTTTAGTACAAGAAAGAATTTGACAATTTTTGAAAAAAATGTGCAATAAACTCCCTGTTGCATATTAATGCAAAAAAGTGAAGGGATTTGTTGACTTTACATAAATTTCCATGCTAATTCTCAAGAAACTGGAAGGACTGATTGGTGTAATTTGGCAATAAACAGATAAAACCTGCATAGATTTGATGGATAACACTATATTTAATCGCACTCAGTGTTTAGTCTATGAATAAATATCTGGTTTTATCCGTGCTTAATGAGAAACGGGAGTTGAAGACAGAAAATCCTTGTCGCCTCTTTGTTTTGGACATCAGGATTATGAGTTTCTCTCCTGCAGGGTAATAATCATCAGCCGTTTTCCTTTATGACATGCTACGCCACACAGAGGAGTGTTTTCTAGCTTGTTGCACTCTTCACCATCATCCCACTCTGACAGTGTTGACAAAGACAAAGCAAAAAGCAGGGCGCTCTCATTTCTTCACACTTTGAACTCATCAGTGGGGATTAGGTTCTTGGATCTGTTTGTTGATACACAACTGAGGTTCTATTAAAAGTCTGGTTTCATTACCTGGCATGAACTGGGTCTCTGCTTCACAAAGCAGAGAATCAGGCTAATCTTCTCGACATCTGTTTGTTTTTAAATCTGCCTTTTGCAAATTATTTCTTAACATGTCCTTAAATCTCCGTTTATGTGGTGTAGCTGTGCGAGATCTAAATGGAAATGCCTTTGAAAAGGTTTTAGAAATTTTGATGACTGTATTGTGGAAATGGAGGATTAGCACCAGTAGACTGAAATCTTGGAAAGAAGTTAACCCTCTTTCAGTTCTACTGTTTTTATCTAAAATGTATCTTGTTAGATTTAAACCTCAAGTGTGCAGAAAACTGTTTCCAATGAAGCCAAAACGGTTATTTAAATACAGAAGAATAGAATAGCAGCTGAAATCATAGCCGATTTCCTTTTTCATTATTGCTTCAAGTTATGCCTTAAACTTTGACTAAACCATAACACCCTGACTACATTTTTAATTTTATGCCGTTTTTCTCTTAAACCCCGCAGGCGCCCTCTAGTGTTCATGAAGGTACTGCATGTGAACAACTGTTTATTTGCTGAAGCCGCTAAGCTAGCTTACCAAAGGGTTGTTGTTAAAAATAGTATTGAATAACGGGCTTAAAATGTGTCACACAAAAGAAAAACTGAAGATTTCAGAAGAAACAAAACAATGGCAGGATAACTTCTATGATCGGAGGAAGCTAAATCGGATCTGTTGAGAGAATCAACGTCGCTCACAAGGGATTCATGTTCACGTTATGCTGCTGGAAGTGGCCATCAGAAAATGGTCATGAAGGGATGGACATGGTCCGCAACAAAGCTCAGGTAGGCTGTGGCGCTGACACCATGGTCAGTTGGTACCAATGTTCCCAAAGTGTGCCAGGAAAATATCCCCACCAGTCTGAATGTTCATACCAGGCAGGATGGATCCATGCTTTCCTGTTGTTGACGCCAAATTCGGATCCGACCGTCCGAAGGTTGCTGCAGAAATAGAGACTCATCAGACCAGGCAACGTTTTTCCAATCTTCTTTTGTCCAGCTTTGGTGAGCCTGTGTGAACTGTAGCCTCAGTTTCCTGTTCTTAGCTGCCAGGAGCAGCACCTGGTCTGGTCTTCTGCTGCTGTAGCCCATCCTCAAGGTCCAACATGTTGTGTGTTCAGAGATGCTCTTCTGCAGACCTCGGTTGTAATGATTTGAGTTGCTGTTGCCGTTCTATCAACTACTCTGGCCATTCTCTGACCTCTGGCATCAACAACGCATTTGCCCCACAGAACTGCCACTTGCTGGATATTTTCTTGCTTTCGGACCATTCTCTGTAAACCCCAGAGATCTTTGTGTGTAAAGATCCCAGTAGAGCAGCAGTTTCTTAAATATTGTGGCCACCCTGTCCGGTACCAATAACCACGTCACATTCAAAGTCACTTAAATCCCATTTCTTTGTTGTTCTGATGCTCAGTTTTAATTGCAGTAAATCGTCTTGGCCATGTCTACATGTCTAAATGCATCGTGTTGCTGCCATATGATCGGCTGATTTGACTTTTATTAAAAGCATTTGGACAGGTGTACCTCATAAATTGTCCAGTGAGTGTAGAGCCGTTATTAGCGAGGTGGTCATGCTGCCAATAATCAGCTAATCAATGCATTTGATTGGCTGTGTCTGGTGTTTAAATTCCACTAAGGCAGCACTCTAGTATTTTAAATCCATTTTATTTTCTCAGTTGCTTAACAGGAATGAAAGAGAAATGAACAAAATGCATCTCCAGCTTTGTAAAGGATCTGCTTCAGTTTTGTGTGTGATGAAAACCATTAGTGTTGGACAATGCAGCTGTTTTAGAAACTGATTTTTTCGGCTGCTTTCATCCTGATCCAGTTTATTATTTCAGTGCATTCAAGCCGTGTTCCTGGACATTATGCAGCACGTTGAGTTCATGCTTTCATAAATATAAATGCAAATGCACACATGAAAAGAAACGCACACTCTCACCTGAAGCACTTTCATGCTCCAGCATCCTCATGCTCACACGCTTTTCCCTGAACCGGGCCCAGAGTGGACCGGAGTGGACGAGCGCCTGGGCCGGATCTGTGCTGCCACACGCAGACCTCCACGGCGGAGAACTACAACCCAGATCTGTGATTCTCAGCGCGAAACGAATACAAATCATTGACAGAAACCCGGAAAGAAGATGGAAAAATTACTGTTCACTGAAGAGGCTCAGGAAACAATCTGTGGGGAAAATAGCACAGATGGCTTTAGGCTACAACATGTTGGAGAGAGGAAGAAATAGCTGAATAAACTAATTAGAAAGGCAGAATTTCACCTCCAGTAGGCCAACACAAACTCTTGGAAAGCATAAATCATTATCGTGTGGAGAACGGGAGGCTTTAAAGGTTCCTAGAACAGATCAGGAAACATCTAAAGGCGATAAAAACAAAACGTTTTTTCTTTACACAAAGTCATTTGTGTTTTAGGACGTCTTGTCACTTTAAGTCCAAATTAGCTGCGGCTGGCCGACTCAACATTTAAATGGCCACAAACAGATGCGCAATTATACAATCTTTGAAAAGTACCTCACTGTAAAAACATTTCAGCCACGTTGAGTTTAAGTACTATCTTGAATAAACAAGACTTTTTAGGTTAGCACTTTAAAAAGCTGAAAGA